ATGTGAGTTTTTTATTATTTTCATCAATTCAATTTTAAAATTGTTTTTTTTTCAGCTTGGTTATTAATCCCATGCTAATTAAGCACATTTTTTGGCTTTATAGGGCTACATAATGGGAGGTAACCCATTGCCCCAACCCAATAAGTCTCTACTACAACTAACTAGATAAGGTATCAATAGAGTCACCATCATTTGGTTTATGTGCTTCTCATAATATACAAGCTWTATAAAAACGAAAATTCAAAGATAAATAACTGAAAAAGAAAAAAAAAATCCACTATTCTACATGTAAAAATGTTGAAATACAACATTTCATGCATCACATGGGGTCTCTGCTAGTGTATATCCATAAAAGGGTGAACTCTCTCTCTCTCTCTCTCTCTCACACACACACCCATTCTAAAGAAAGTTTAGAATGCTCAATGTTCAAATTTTTATTCATTCCTTTCCAAATGAAAATTCCTTAAAGATTGGTGATAGAAGGGCTCAATTAACTATCGTTGCCCCTACAAACCAATCTACTAGCAATAGATGCACTTAATTAAACTTGCATCCCAAACAGATACATACTTACTATGGAACTGTACATGGCAGATGATAGAGGAAAATTTGTTCAACCATATAGCCAACAACCCACTTAAATTTCTACCAAACACTAACCACACACTTGGAAAATCACTTCAAAACACTTAAAATTAAACACAGTTCTTTGGTCTTCCTATCAGGGAACAGTTCCTTGATGCCCTTTCAAGTAGGGCACCCTTCAATGCAGAAAAGATGGAGGGTGCTAGTACGGGGGGAGCAGTTGTAAGTACTGTACTCATTTAACCTTTTCAAGAAATTCTATCTGGTTGGGTTGGTTCACTAGGGCTTGAAGAAGGATCTCTTTGTGGGAGCTCTCCCAACAGCCCTCATCAAGTTGGCCAACTCAAGAACTCTAGCTACCTTTGTTCCTTTCTTTGCCTCAGCTGATGCTCTCCTCTCCTCTGCTCTCCGATGTGCCTTTGCCACCTCGTTTTGCATTTTCTCCAATGCTTTAGCTCTTTTATCCTCTAGCTTTCTCTACAAACAAAACAAAGTTTATGTATCATGAGTCATGACTCCATGGATTATTACTCAAGTAATTAAATCACCATAGTTTACAGAAGAAGATCAACGATAAATAAGTTTAACTATTTACAACTTGGAATTGAATGAAATTATCATATGGGGTGTGGGTGCAATTAATTTAATTGTTCCTTAATTACTCACCTCAACCTTCTTCATCCAAGATGTTGCCTTCTGGACCTGTTCATCCTCCCACCCATTGACGATCGCATCCTCCCTCTTGAACCTGTTATTAATCTTAGCAATCTTGGCCGTCTGCCACGCCGATATCTTGGATTCTATCTCCTCCCGCTTCACCCTCTGCAACGACACCTCCTCGGCCATGCCACTTCCAGCAGCCGGATGTCTAGGAGAGGGGACGGGGTCGAGCGGATTGTTATCTAGGACAATGGCCAATGGGTTCGTCACCTCCGGCAACCGATCGTCCTCCCCAATCCTGGCCAGGTTGTTCCCGACGTTGCCACCCTCGTTTTCATGGCCGTCGGCGTTCCCGATTGCAGAGCCAGCAAGGACCAAAGCATTGAACTCGCGACTCATGCTCGTGAAGTTCTCGCTGGAAGCACCGTCGCTGCTCATGGACAAGGTGGATAGCCTGTGGCTGCTCGTCTCCCAGGACTCCCTCTGCCGAGCTCGATTCCCTGCTGGGGCCGGCGGTGGCGTTAGAGCATGTATATCCCTGATGACTTGATCTCCATCGCCATGRTTCTCTCTTCCATTGCTTACATCTCTCTGAATCTGATCATTCGACATGTGAAGAGCTCAAGATCCTAATTAGTACAATACCGACCCGGACAAAAGCAGTGGAGCAAAGTAGGACGCAATCCCTTCCCTACAAGCATACTCGCAGGCTCGCAGCTTATTAGCAGAAGAACCAAGAACGTCAATTTCTCTCACTAAAGCCAACGAGAAATTTTAGCCACACCTCCAAATTCAATTAATATAGTCGTCCAGTAATTATACAACTGCAAATCTTCCATGTGTTTGCCACATCACCCACTCAGAATCCTATACGGACGATAGTGGGCCACGACGTGTCAACCTGATAATGGCCCATGTATTAAGCTGACGTGGACGGTAGTGGGCCACGACGTGTCAACTGCAGAGGATTTTGACCCTTCCTAAGGGTTGTTTGGTCACAGCCAAATTGGCTGAATTGAATTGCTTTTTATTCTGTTTTTAGTGAATAAATTATTCATGAGGATGCTAGCTCTTTCATGACTTCATCCATAAAACAAACAAATTATTCGGTTCAGCCACTCTCTAATGTGAACCCCCCATAAGTTGATGAAACGTTCCAAATTGTCCACGTCATCCATCAACCGACTTTCAAAGGGTCGTGTGGGGAAGGAATCTAGACGGGTCACCTCATTCGGAACCCTAGTCTTTTTCAAGAAAAGCTGACGTGGCATCCATAAACCTAATTAGTTAGACAAATAAACATAAAGAAACTTGTTTTAGATTTTAATCTTAGTGTCGGCCAGGCCACGAGATATTAGACCAGCCCAACAGAGGTAGGTAGTGGGCCGGGCCCAGTATCCCACTTTGACACACGTTGAAAAATGTGGATACTTTATCGGACACGTGGTGGACGGATGTTCTGCGGTGAGTCCTACATCAGGTTGCTCGGACCTCCATCAATGCGTGTAAATTAGGGCACCTCTAAGGCTTTATTTGGCTCGTCATTAGGGTTATTATTAATAGAATTAATAATAACAGCTTTCTGGAAGGATGAGAGATGCTTGGAATATCACTTTCTAGTCTTCAATTGCCAAGCACCATGATTATTTTTGTTTGGAGCCATCTGATGATGTAATGGGTGGGTATAGTTGGGTGAGGATTTAGCCACGTGTCCACCCAAATACAAATGTGACATACACGTGTCTATTGGTTCGTTGGGGTGAAGATGTTAAAAGGAGAAAAAGAAAGCGAATTGCCTTATCCTTTGGCTTTGGCTCCACTTGTCCAAGCATAGGAAATTCGAAATGGCACCAGGTCATATTCCGGTTCAACAAGACAACAAGTCTATATCCAAATTCAATCTGATCACGCCAATGTCTCTTTATATAGTAAAAGCTATAAAGCAGCAAATGCAATTAGTTGCTTCGTTGCTTAGGGAGGGAAATTTTGTTCATCTAATTTGATAATATAATTATTTTATTATTTTCAATTTATTTTGTCCTCTAATAAGAATAATTGAACACCAATAAGCCATTAATAATGTATTTTTGTCCCTTCTTTACAAGTTAGGTTTTTGATTTTAAAAAGATTTTCAGCATGCATTATTATGGATTAAAGTATCGGTATTGAATATTGTATCGAACAATTTGGATACGGATGCAAATACAGATATGCTTTAAGAATATATGGATACGGACGAAAGATTTAGATATGCTAGGAAAACACATAGAAATTCCATAAATATATTAATAACACCAAATTTAAATTCAAATAACCACAAATAATGTATAAATACCTAATAAATGTATGTATGAAAAAATATATTACAATTAATATATTAAGATGCATAGATATCATTCAATTTTATAGATATGCATCAATCAAGAGTTCAAACACATAAAATATGTACATATTTTATTTTAATTATTATATCAATTATTGTCCATTTTACTATTTCTCACTCTTTTACATTAAAAAAAAGTCAACCAAATATTAAATTCTCAAATGTAAATTAAAATATCAATTGATAATTTATGAAAATGTATAATTTCAATTTAAAATATATCAAATTTGTTAAAATTTCTAAGATACATACAGCAATTAAAAATTATATTATATATAAGTTACAAATTCTTAATTGCTAATATAATTATTACATTATTAGTATTTTTGTTTATATAGTTTTTCTAAAATTAAAAACCATTTTTTGTATAAATTTTAATTGGTAGAATTGATAGATTCTATTTAATATTATATTCCCAAATATTTTGTAAATATTTAATATATTGTTATTTAATGTGAGGTGAATTAGAATATTAATTAATAATTTATATATATAGATATATAAATTTTAAGTATTAAAATAATTATTCTATTATTACTATTTTTATTTGCATACATTTCTTGAGATCAAAATCATTTTTTTTTTAATGTGAATTTGATAGGTTATTTATTTGGTTATTGCATTAGTTTATAAAATAATAATTTTTTAATATTATTCTTTTAATTTTTAGTAGGAATCATTAAACATAAATGTGTTATTTAATAGGATTGCATGCAGTATGTACATACAGTCTTTAATAAAATTTAATGTATTTCAATAATTAACATGAGAGTCAAGCCGGGCTAATGGTTTAGGGGTGAATTTGGAATTGAATAATGTGTAGGGAGACTCATGTTCGAATGTGAATCCATTGTAAATGGACTAGGTCCAATCCAATCCAATGAATGTTTTGGACAAATTTGGACTGGTCCAATTCAATGTCTGGACCATCCAATCTATTCAAATTCATTTTGATTTAGATTGGTTTCAACCCAAACCCGGTCCATTGGCACATATACTCTTATCTTATATCAATGGACCAGATATTGGCTTAATCCAACCCAATCCAATAAAATTTGTTACGGACGGTCCAAGTTTAATCCAATCTAATAAATATTTTGGGCCAGATTGGTCCAGTTCAATATGTCTTGTTGGTCCATCCAATCCGTTCAGATTGATTTCGGACTAGACGGGATCCAATCCAAAACCGGTCTATTGACACCCTTACATGAGAGTGCTTGGAGAAAGAGGAAAATAATGTATTAAAGGGTCTGTTTGGTTTACAATTGGAATCAGAATCAAAATCAGAATGTTCTATTCTTATAGCTTATTTGGTCCAAACAAGAATTGGAATGGGAATTAAAATAAGTTGGAATGGAGTATCAGCCCCAAGGGAGGGGGAAGAAATGGCCATTTCCTCAAATGGGAGAATGCTATTCCATCAGGAATGGGAATAGAATTTCGATTTGGGCATTCCAATTCCAACTCTAGACGTACCCCTATTCTTATGAATCAAATGACAGATTGTGTATACAAAAGATATTGTTCTTCCCTTTTTTCCTTGCATTCGTTCTTTACACTGAATGAGTATATATATACAACCCTATTCTATCTTTCCTTGTTGTACACAAACTACCCCTAAGGTAAGAATTATCCCTTGGATTAAGGGATGACTAACTACGGACATGATAAGAATTGTCCCTTGAATTAAGGGATATTCTTCTAGTTTGACAACTCAAGCAATACTCCCCCTCACGTTGGCGCGTACAAATCTTGGATGCCCAACTTGCCAAGTGAGCTGTAGAAGTTTTTACTGGATACAACTTTTGTAAGTATATCTGCCAGTTGGTCTTCAGACTTGACAAAAGGAAATCGAATGATCTTATCTTCGATATTTTGTTTGATGAAATGCCAGTCCACCTCCACATGCTTTGTTCGATCATGTTGGACATGATTATGAGAGATATCTATGGCAGCCTTGTTATCACAGAATAGGTCCATCTCAGAGGTTGGGGAGAAACCGATTTCCGTCATTAATCTTCTAAGCCAGAGAAGCTCGCAAAGACCTTTAGCCATTCCCCGAAACTCAACTTCAGCACTTGATAAGGCCACCACCTTTTGTTTTTTGCTTCTCCATGTAACAAGATTCCCACCGACAAATGTAAAGTACCCCAAGGTGGATTTTCTATCCGAGATATTTCCAACCTAATCTGCGTCTGTATAGCCTTCAATCTTCAGATGATTATTCTTTGAGAACATTAGTCCTTTTCCAGGTGAGGACTTCAAGTATCGAAGAATTCACATTATAGCATTCATGTGATCTTTGCTTGGGCAATGCATGAACTGACTCACTACACTGACAGCGTAAGTGATGTCTGAGCGAGTATGTGAGAGATAAATAAGTTTACCAACCAGCCTTTGATATCTCTCCTTATCAGTAGGTACTTGGTCTGGGTATTCTCCAAGTTTATGGTTTTGAATAATTGGTGTGTCTGCCAGTTTGCACTCCAACTGTACCACTTCAGATAGTAAATCTAACGTGTATTTCCGTTGAGACAGAAATGTAC